GTTCAGGGTTTAGGGTTTTAGGGTTCAGGGTTTAGAATCTGGAGAGGCCTGGTTGCAAAAAGGGTTTAGGGTTCAGTTATTCGGGCGTTTGCCCACATGTGGGTTGTCGTGTCGAGCTCCAGCTACTTGTAGCAAAATGCTGTTTGTGGACTTCCTCGGCTCAGCCCACAGATTGCGCAGAAGATTTCTCTGGCCAGGTGCTGGGTACACCTTCGGGCAGGATGTGTCTGAGAAGTTTAACCAGGCGAACGGCCACTGGGCACAAAGTCAGAACCCTAAACCCTAAACCCTAGAAGGCGCTGAGTGGCCCTGAGCCTTGGTCTTGTTTGAAGACCCAAAGTTTAACATCGTTCTCCACAAAGAATTCAACCAGTCAAGGGATTAATCCCCTCCCCCTAATATCAAACCCCCCTACCCCCTAACACCCCCCGTACCCCCTAACATTAAATACCCCCCAGTAGATCTATACCAAAGTATATTGGGGGGGTTTAATATGAGGGGGAGGGGATGAAGCACGGACAAGCCACAAGAGATGCTGGGTGAAGAGCTCTCAAGCACTGTTTTTCCGACAAAGCAAAAGAGAGGGGAACCCAACACCCCTAGTAGCCTAAATCGAGGCTGCTCTTGAGGACCCGCAGTAAAGCCCTTATTCCCTTTCATTCGCCTGTGGGCCCCCTTGTAATCCCCTTTAAACCAAAAACAGGTGCGGCTCTAGGTAGCCTACCCTAAACCCTAAACCCTAAACCCTAAACCCTAAACCCTAAACCCTAAACCCTAAACCCTAAACCCTAAGCCTGACCCAAGCTCAGGCTTGAACCTCATCGCGAGGGCACACCAGCTGGTCATGGAAGGGTACAACTGGACCCATGAAGCTCGCCTTCCACGAAATCCCTGGGTGCCTTAAGTCCCATCTTACTAGTTATGGGGTCGGAATAATTTCTAATATTAGTCACTTATGGCCCCTGTATAACTGTACTATGACAGCCCCCAAGAACCCTGTTCTGATTTCTAATGTTTCAGGCCACTATGTTACCTTTTAAGGGTTTGCTCAGCGAAAGACCCAGCAGGACAGCTTCATGTTCGGCCATGTCCGGGGCAATTTCACCCTCTGTGGTCCGGTGCCGCACATCCATTTCTTTAGAGACTGAGCGGTTGCAGAGCGGACTTGGCCTAGTTTAGGGTTTAGGGTTTAGGGCTAGTACTCTGAAGGGGGACCGCCGGGACAGGCCTGAGGATGGCATGCTTTCTTGCCCTTCTGCTGGGGTTCCTGTGGCGGGCCTGCGGGGAGGGGTTTAGGGTTTAGCGATTAGCGTTTAGGCTTGCGAAACGGCTGGCAAGCCCTCTTTATCTGGGCGATTTGTAGGACGTGGGAAGGCCTGGAGGGGTAAGCCCCTTCGGCTGGGCTTCTGTACCTCTTGCGTCTAGCCACAGCTCACTCCTCTTGTCGAAGCTGAAACCCACAAGCATCTGGGACCCAGAGTAGGCCCTTATGCTTAGGTTCCCTTGAAGGCCCTTTAACCCCAAAGGGCACCCTTTTTTTATTCCTAGGTTCCTCTTGGGTCTACAGGGGAATGCTTGCGCTTTTGCTGATTTTACGCGAAAGGTTTTGGCAAAGGGGACTTCCCATGTGCGGATGTCACGGGGAATCGCTCTCCTAAACCTCTCCTGACAGCTGGTGACAAGAGCGATGGCCGACACGGAAGACATGTAGGCATCCAAACAGTCCCTGACAGCTGGGAGAGAAAAGACCAGCGATAGGACAATGCCAGCTACGGAGAGCACCTGTGCTTATTGAGGGTGGCAAGAGCTTGAGAAACCCGAAACTCCCAACTTCTAAGGCCCTCCGCCGTTTCAACCCTGCACCCCAAACCCTTTCAACCCTAAACCCAACGGCTTGCCGTCCTTGTGCGAGTGTGAGAGCCGAAACCCTACGCAGCCTGCTAAGGAGCAGCAAGTTGTGACCATATTCTCAGCGCCAAACTACTGCTACCGCCCCCGGGCAGGCAATTAGCAGTCCGCCGGGATGTCGCGGTTGGTCTAGATGGGTTTAGGGTTTAGGGCTTTGACGTAGATAAGCGGGTGTGTGGAGCAAGTCCAGCTTGAAAAAAGGGTTTAGGGTTTAGGGCAACAAGGGCATGGGGAAATTATGAGCCCTTTCGGGCGTCTCGCGCATGATGCGCTCTGTAGCAAATACAAAGACCTTCGATGTTAAATCCACTCCCACTGTAAACCATTGTCGAAGGTCAGCGTGCCTAAGCCCGAAACCCTGGGACCGAGTCCAACTACAGGGTTTAGGGTTTAGGGTTTAGGGTTTAGGGTTTAGGGTTTAGGGTTTAGGGTTTAGGGTTTAGGGTGTGTTTTTGCCATCTAAGGTTCCGGCAATCAAGCCGCCATCATGGAGATTGACGAGAAGCTAGGGTCTCACTTCGTGCAGTTCGACCCTGCACCTCGCAGGGGTGAAGCGGCCATAGGCAGACCGCCAGTGGAGTACTTCCTGTGATCCTCACATGGCGGGAAATGCTGCGGAGAGGACCTGCGTAGGAAACCCCTCCTCCGCTCCATACTTTCACACAGCCCTCAACCTCCTAGAGGGGTCGAAAGAACTACGCACAAAATTCCCTCATGGCCCCCTCTGTAATACTCTAATAACCTCCCAAAACCCTTCTTCTAACTATTCAGGGCCCCTACATCGTGGTGAGCCTTGAGAAGACACACGGGAAGAAGCGGGATAGAGTGCTGCAGATGCGAAGCTGCTGTTAAAGTCAGCGTTTCAATTCAGATGGTCTCATGGGAATCCCCAAAACAGGCTTTCATGCAAGGAGGGGCCACCCTAGTGATAAGAAGTTTCATGCAAGGAGGGGCCCCGCCCTAGTGATAACTAGAGCTCTAAGAACCCTATAGATTGGGTCAGAAGGATCCTACAATTAGGCTGTAAGGTCCCTTATAGCTACCGTTAGTAAGGGGGGGTGCCCCTGCTTGTGTTAGGGGGGAAGTCGATTCTCGAACTCATGGGTGGCCCTTGACACGGGAGCCTGTGCGGATTCCCTGGCGCCAAAGAACACTCCCCGAGAGCCGCAACGCCGCCCTTGAAAAGCCGCTGCTGCCTGCAAGTCCTTGGGGACCAAATGACTCAAAGGTTTATGGTTAATATGAAAAGTAGGAGTTGTGGTAGTATAAGGTTTGTGATCCCAATTCGGTAGATTCGGTGTTTGCAAGGGTCTCTCTAAGAACTCCAATGTCCCATCCAAGAGGCTTGCTTCAGCTAGGAAACCTAAGCCCTAAACCCTAAACCCTAAACCCTGGGTGTCCTTCTCGAAACAGAGCAGCATTGCAGTTCTCGACCTCTGCCCGGGTATGACAACCCTCAAGCCTGGACCAAGGCCACAAAAGTTGCAGAGAGAGAGAGAGAGACACGCACACGCACACAGAGAGACAGGAAACCAAAACCCTGAACACTGAACTCAGTGTGTGTCTCCTGCGCCTACGACCATAGGTTCCTTTGTCTCCCGATTGCCTTCACTGTTTGATGACGGCAGGGATCTAAAAGGTACTCGTGGAACGCACCAAGGCGCACAACCCTGAAACCTTCAACCCAATCTCGGCACGCAGCAGGCGCGATGAGGCTGCCGATGCTTTAGCCAGGGAGCTCAGAGTGAAGACCTTTTCAAATCGTCACTCGAACCATCGCCGCCCTCATCCTCATAGCCCTGAACCCTAAACCCTCGAACCCTAGCCGAACCCGAGCAGAACCCCTGCCTGCTTCCGCGAGTGCGAGAGTCGAAACCCTCAACCCTGTTCTTGCTGTGAACCCCTGCGCCTCATGGGAGCCACGGGGCGTGCTGCAACCCTGAACTTGCCATGCACCCGAGCCCCTGGTGGCGAAATTGGGGGGATTGGGGTCTATGCTTGGCTCAAAAGAGCGTTTAGGCTTGGAGGAATGCAGAGGAGGGTGTTAGGTTATTGGAAATTCGGAGGGTGCAGGGGCTATCACAAGAGATGCTGGGGTTTGGGGTTCGGGGTTTGGGATGTGTTGTCTGACACGTTGACAGGCCTGTCGCCAAAAGTGAGAACATGCACTGACCAGACATAGCATGTTCCACCCAGGCCGCAGCCTGGATTAGGCGCACCATAAACTTTGCCCTAGACCCTGAACCTCACCGGCGATCGTGAGCTGGGACTTGAGATTCGCGTACGGTACGCTCCGGTCAACTATCTAGGTGCGTGTACCTGAGTTGCGTGCCTCCCTGCGGAAACCGACAACTAGAAGCCCTCGGAAAATCTCGGAGTCATTGCTGAAGTGCCCTAAACCCTAAACCCTAAACCCTAAACCCTAAACCCCTAAACCCTAAACGAAGGCCACGGCCGAGAGTCACAAGTTGGCGGTGGAGCAGGAAGTTCAGAAGGTCTCATGGCTCGGTTGGAGGGTTTCTAGGAGGCCCTTACTCCCTAGGGTTTAGGGTTTAGGGTTTAGGGTTTAGGGTTTAGGGCACTTCAGGAGGCCCTTACTCCCTTTTTGTAAGTACCCTTGAAACCAAAAGGGCACCCTTTTTTATTCCTTGGTTACTCTTAAGGTCTATAGGTTTGGGATTTAGTAGTAAGTGATTGTTACTGGTTTCAGCCCTCTGGGGCTACGCGGTAAGATCCCTTGGTTACAATCGGCTACTATACTTGAGAAAGGAGTATACCTCACACTGATATAAAAACAAGTTGTCAGGTAATATTTGATTTAATACAAGGGGTCTTAAACGTCTCTGCATGGAGGGGGTCAAGGGTGAAGCTAAAGCGATGCATGCATTGTGGTAGTTTGGCTTGGCGGTCTGGTTTCTCCCCGCGCTGGGCTTGCTACAAGGAGGGCCCCCCTACTATGCTATCTGTAGTCTGTAGTTAAGGGACATATAACCTAATCTAGGATCCTTATAACCCCATGTATAGGGCTCTTGTAACTCTACTTCTAACTAGGGGGCTCCTCCTGTGTAGGTCATGGCAGAGAAGGAGAAGTTCATCAAGGTCCACGTTGGCCGAGACATGTTCTTGGATTTGGGTTGCGCTTATGCTTGCTGCTTTTCAAGAAGCATATACCCACCAAACTAAAGGCCAGTTGATTTCTGGACGGAACTTCCCTGACCGATGCGACCCGATCGACATCGATAGCTCGACTCGATTTTGCAGCGGTTTCCCGGATTCCGGAGGCGGAAGGGGGAACGTGCGAGAGGTGGGAGGGGGAAACCCTAATAAACCCCTAAACCCCTAAACCCCTAAACCCTAAACCCCCCAAAGGGCCATATTTAGACCCCTCCTCAGATCTGCAGATTTCATGATGACTGCAGGAGACTGAAGCCTCGCTCAGCCTTTTGAAAGCTCAAGCGCCGCAGGCGCTTCCGCTGTGTGCGTATAAGGCTAGGGTTTAGGGTTTAGGGTTTAGGGTTTAGGGTTTAGGGTTTAGGGTTTAGGGTTGGGCGAAGAGCTGGCGGACAGTTTGCTCTTGTTCTTGCATCACTTGGCTAGTCGTATGTGGCAGCAGTTTCAGCTCATTTTACTATTCGATTATCTTGACGGCCGTGCAGATTTCTTCCTTATTTCAAGTGTGCTTCCTCATGGTGATATGGGTGCATAGAACAGTTTGCGTGCTGTTTTGCGTGATGTGACTTCTGAGAAGTTGCATGTTTGCCGGCAGTTGCTCAAAAGGGTTTAGGGTTTAGGGTTTAGCTGCGCATGGTCAGGCCACCAGAAGCATGTCTGCCTGCGCATGGGTCCTGTAAGCGACTTCTGTTCTTCTATACATCTTATACATACATGTCTCTCTACATATATAAATAGACACATGCATATATGTATATGATACTTTAAGAAGGTACACATATACATATTCTTCTATGTCTAAAATTGCGAGGAGCCTCAGTAAGGGGTCAAAAAGGGTGCGCCGCTGAATTCATGCTTGCCCCTGATGAGGCCTCGAACGCCGAGTCGGGAGCTGAGAACGTGCAAGGGTTTAGGGTTTAGGGTTTAGGGTTTAGGGTTTAGGGTTTCGGGTTCGGGTTTCGGTTTCGGGTTTCGGGTTTCGGCTCTGAAAGGGCTGCTCTTTCTGGCATCCTGTCCTAGCCCAGAAGAACAAAAAGGGTCTGAAAGGGGGGATTAGGGTTTGCAAGGCCATCAGGGCACCAAGGGTGTAGAAGGCTACTATACTAACTGTAGCTAAGGGACTTATAGCCTAATTTTGGGATCCTTATAACCGAATCTGGGGTTCTTATAACTCTACTTATACTAGGCGTGTCCCTCCTTGTAGAAGGCCGGAACATCTGGGTCATGGGTCCTTGCATTCTTCCTGGCCTGGGGCTGAGGCCACGAGACCCTGACGACCCGGAGGCCTGCATTGAATTAGGTCTGAGTCGTTCTATCGCTACCTGGGGACTCTCCTTTACCTGCAGTTTTATGGCTTATGCCTACTAATTTAGGGGGTCGTTGCTACTAAACTGTAGGTAAGTAGAGTCCCACGTAAAGCCCTAGTCAAAAAAGCTCAATTCCCTACAACGCACTGTGGCCATGCGGCTCGCCCTTGTGTAGACTCGAACTGCTTCTCGCTTCGCGACTTCAGTGAAACCCTAAAGCCTAAACCCGAAACCCTACTCCGGCTAAGGATCTTCCATGCAGGGTTGAGGGATGTTGAGGGGCTGCGCAAGCCAGTTGCAAGAAGGGGTTCATTTTTATCTCAGACTTCCTGCATCTCAAAGGTTCGATTGCGTTCATCTGCCGGACGTGCTGTTCCCGCAGCTGAAGTGATCCTTCTCAGACAGATGCAGATAAGGAAGTTGGGCTGATGTAGGTAGGAATGCAGGAAAGCAGTAACACATTGGCCTAAACGATCCAAACAAATCGCAACACTACTTCCACAGAACTCCATTGAAAACACGGTTCAACCTACTCAACGTACACGTTCCAACCACACAGGCTAGCCAAAACAGTGTGATACCGCCAGCCCCCCTTGTCCCTAAACCCTAAACCCTAAACCCTAAACCCTAAACCCTAAACCCTAAACCCTAAACCCTAAACCCCAAACCCCAAACCCTAAACCCTAAACCCTAAACCCTAGCCCTAAACCCTAAACCCATCATCTTGGCCATGGCTCGATGGCTTCAAGTATAGGGCCGGAGATCTGTCCTGCTTTCTGAAGCTATGACGCCGGGGGCCATACCGCGAAACCTTGCCTTTGTGGAGGTCACTGGGCAGATCATGGCCACCCGTAAAGGCCCTAAACTCTTCACCGGCTTAGGGTTTTTGGGTTTAGGGTTGAGTGTTTGGGGTTTAGTGTTTTGGTTACCCAAGGTTGCCCTTTGATGTAGTGCTTGGGAGTGCCTGGTTGGTTGCACAAACCTGAAGTTGCGGCGAGTGCTTTAGAGAGGCCCGAAGTTCATTCTCCCGTGATCGTCTTGAGTCGTTGCTTGTGAACCAGCTACAGTAGGCAACAACAGGCCTCCGGTCTTCTAAGCCGGCTTCTTTTCTAGA